GTTCACAGCGCTCAGTGCGCCAGAAAATGATTCTTAATGTTCCTGTTGCCCAGTGTCGCCCCTGATTTTGAAGCCCACTCATCACAATGATCGGTGTGGCATGGTTCTCTCAAGAAGGGTCAGGGTATATTACCATCAGAGCAGCCTAGTGCATCAATATCTACCAAACCACGACGTCTATCATAATGGTGATGTATCGCCAACGAAATACGATGGACAAACGAATGGTAAAAGTTCGGCCGTTCACCAAACACTGGTTAGAGGATGTTTCTAAAAAGAACATTTCAGCGTTATAAAATCTTTATAATATCGTCTAGGACCTTCTGTCGGCCCGGTTAGTTGGAGAGGCTAGTCACTCCTTAATTCCACCTCTGCCCTGCAAAACTTGGACTACCTAACGTACCTGTCCTGAACCGAGTTAGTGTAGAAACAAGCAATTTGTGTTTAAAATGGCTTGGTTACGATGATAGTAAATAGAGCGTTTACGCTCGTTTCTAATTTATGCGGTCATTACTTAGTGCTGAGGCAGGAGTGCCATACGTAGTCAGCTACGAGAGGATGACCAAACGAAGCAGAATTTAATAAATATCTATACTGTCCGACTGTGCTCAATACCGAGCCATGCGTGGATGAATGTATTCAGCTCCTGAGAGCAGCAAAAAAAATTGATTGTAGTTATTAAGTTTTTTTTTGCAATTGCGGCGACTCACGATAAACTAATCCATAGTTAAGTCATTCATCTTTAGGTAATAAGAAAATCACCCCTCAAGCGTTATTTTATCGGGCTAATTATAAATTATTAATAGCGCTTACGTTGTTTTTAAAAGCTTAGTAATATTGTCGAGTCCTTTACTTCTTGAGGTATCGAATGCTTTTCGCGTACGTTAACTAAGTCTGATTGCCAGGCACCGACTGCGTTATTAAAAAGCTTATTTAAGAGTTTGTGCACTCAATGTTACGTGCAAACGTTGTTCTCTTTTTTAGATCATACCGACCTTCGCATTGGCACGTGTTTCCAATTGGGAACTAGATTTATCTTGTAGTCAGTTCACTTAGTGGAATACAGTCTCCGCTGGGTAGGCATAATATTAATCTATTCAGAAGTATTCGAAGCAAGTAAGGCCTAAACGAAGGACTCAATCTTTGGTGCTGGGAAGGCTCCGAGTTTCGATCCAATAGTGATGTGCCTTGTCATACCGAAGTTTTTGGACACTGTGACCTAACAAACGCTTAATTCAACAACCTTTGATGTTCAAACGAAGCATGGAGATGCTCGAAATATGACCTGGGTCGGGGTACTACATCCGCATGCTCCGAACAATAGGAACGCTAATTGTTGGCCAACGAGACACGCCTGCCTCTAACACCAGCAGGCCCCTCTATATCTATGTTAGATAAAAGCATTCCGTCGCAACGATTACCTACAATTAGTAGTAACCAACTACGTGGAGTTAACACACCATGAACAAAATAAAAATAAACGCAATGTACCATAAAGCAATAATAAAAGGATGGATGCGGTGATCTACAAGCCGAGATAGAACGGTGCGAAGATTCGAACGGCAAGGTTAAATCAATCCTTACGTTGACCTCTCTGCTTTATCCGCACCTGTTTGTTGGTCCCGCTGTGTTTTTACCCTAAGACCTACGCACTCGACTGCCAAACGTGAAACGTGTCGTTGTCAAGTGCATCTTGGTGGTCATCGCCTTCCGCCAGTGTGGGCTACACATGATATATTATCTGCCAGATTTCGTCAGATCGATATCGCACTATTGAGCTGGTTCGCAGCCACAGATTCCGGAAGAACTCTGTAAATCGACGCATTTACCATTTGAAGACCGTTTTGATACGCCTACTAGCTCGAGGTTTTATGGCTTTCAGCGATAGCTGAAATTGCACGCTTCCATACACTTCCTGATTCAATATATGAAGCGGACTCGTTTACCGCTATCGTTGGCTAACAGGAAGCAGCTTTTTACAGCCACCGCGCCATTGTGCTTGCATAGTCGAAGACCTGCATTTATTCATTACTTAAACTATAATATTTGATATGTCACAGTATAATAGTTTAGATGTTTCCAGACATTCTCTGGCAATAACCATTTTCTAGGGACGGCATGCCGTAGTAACAGTGTCCTGTTATTGAGTTGAACACAAAAATGTAGTGAATATCGGCCTTCTGTGTCTGCAAAGCGGAATTTAATTAAGTCTTCCGTATGCGAAAGTAACTTGGCTCTTGTCTGAGACCGACAATAATACACATAAGGAGAACCATGTTTTTCTGTCGTCAAGGGCCTACTCAGCGTACGTAAAGTGCCACACTGTAGAAATTCAAGATAGTTTATTTCGAATGTATCCGACCTAATACCTATCAAAAAAAAATCAACATGGATATGGTAGAAATTTCTAGATACGGATTGTAGAGATCGCGTCTGTTTCAGCATTGATGTTTGGTTTCCGCTATTGTACCTATTAAATGAACAATTGGCTGCCGCAAAGTTAAAGACTTTAGATACCAATGTACAAAATCAAGTTTGTAATTTTAGTGGGAGTTCTTCCGACGAATACGAATTAGAAAATATCTAATCTTTGCTAAAGCTCCATACTGGGTTTGTCGTACTCCTCTAGAAAAGAATGGCTTTTTTGCGCTGCCTAAAAAAGGAGATGAGTGTATGCCTCAACGAAAAAAAAAAAAAAAAAAATATATATATATATATATATATATATATATTTTATATATATAGACAAAAATGGCACGTTTTTTCTTCGTTAAGGCACGCCCTCGTCCGCTATTTTCGGTACCATAAAAAAGCCATTCTTTTCTAGAACAAAGTCAGTATGACGAATTTAAAACTTGAACAAATATCAGCTAGTGTCTAATCCTTCCTCGCTGAAAGAACTCTTCCTAAACTTACAAACTTCATTTTTGCTCGAAATCGATGGTTTAGGTGGTAACTTTTAAGTAGTTCGCTATAAAATCAATCGGAACATCTTCAATAAGATTTTGATTCTAAGGGCTTGAAAATAAATTTTTGCTGTTAAAATTAGTGGCCGCTCAAGAGAAAAGTATCAACAACCAATTAAATTGTATATCTAGATAAGTTGTAACGATTAGCGTTTTTGCATCACTTAAGGCTGTTCTGAACGTTTATGTTTTCGGAACTTCTGCTCAAATGTTAATTTTGCTCAAAATAGGTTTACACATACCAATTTATCTTGACGCAAAGTTACTAGTAAAAAGTTATTTGCAAATTAAAAAAGAAATTCTAAAAATAGGTGAGAATTAACTCTGTAATTGCGATGTTTGTTATTTGCCATAAATAAGCATGACTACCAGAAACGGCATATACGAAATACGGCATATACGTCTACTATAATATCTACTTTTTTTTTCTGACTATTGTATAGAAGAAGAAAGTCCCGATTTAGATGTCCTACTCGGTATTTGTATGTATATATGGGAGCTGTAACGTAAAAGCAGCTTGATGTTCAAAACAACGCTATGCCATGCTATCAAGCGTTAGCTACTTCTCTCAGTACGAAGTGTCCACTATGAACCGTTTTGGCATGTGCCCTAGATCCGACCATACAGATAAATGTCCAGACGAAAATATACAACCTTCATCTTTTTCATTTTTACATGTGTAATAAAAAGCGGTAAACCTTACTCAGTCTAGTCGCTACTACAAAAGGGAGCTTTGACATATTTGACAGTCGACTACTAATGCATCCTTTCAACTCTCCGAGAGACTCTTATTTACATCGCCATTTACATGCTGCTCGTCCAACTATTCGGAAGCTGTTGTCCTATTGTATAATTACCTCAGCGTGTATCATAATCATTTGCTGAAACTTACGTTAAATGAACGTAAGTAAAACAAATCATTAGTAGAGCGGTTAAATTTTACACTTCTTCAGGTCGCCAACAACCGGTACGTCGCTAATTTTCCTACACCGTTACACAACGTACGTTGTACAACGGAAGAAAATAGCGAACCTTTCCGTAAAACGTCATAGTAAAAAACGCGCCACCGAGTAAGATTACCGGCTAAACAACCCAAAAGTTAGGTGTACGAATAATGCGCAATGATCGTTCAGCTCACACATGATTGTAGTATTCCATTCTAGGCACAGTAGATATGGACTGGTCGTGGAAGTTATGTGGGAGAACAAGACGGCACGAATGGAATTTTTAAAGGAAGCTAAAGCAGATTAAGCTGGGAAACAGGTAAATCTAGTCATGTCAAAGGTTTGAGTTTCAGTCCAAAGGCTCAAAACCTGTGAAGCGAAAGACTGAGACGAAAGACACAAGAACGAGAAGCCACGTTAAATTGAAGTGAACGAAGTCTGAATCTCAGTCAAGCTTTTACTTTTGGTGTGGCATCGAAAATATACAAGGATGTGGAACATGAGGAGACCGCCTCTGATTGAGTCTTTAGCGACCTTTAGGTGTTAGCACGAAAACTGAGGAGTTCTTCTAACGTCTCTGCACAATTAAGCCCAACGAGATTTTCCAACGTGAGACGAGGTAACGAGCTCGGAACTCGAAGATACAATTATTCGAAGTTCGCTTTTCAGCTTCATAAAGGGATATTTATGTTAAATAATTGCCTAGTAGAAAAAAGAGATGCCAATTCGTGGCTGTGATAGCTACGGAAAAGGAATTGGCGAAAATAGCTTGCATATATAGTAAAGTATATACGTGTGATAACACTTGTAGACTACATCCTCTGTTTTTTTGTTATGAATGCAAATTTTATGACATGCATATGAGAAGTTAGTTATACAGAAGTCGTCATCTATTTACATTGAGGACATTTAATCGTCATTTCGGTTGACCTTTGCCGAGAGCCGATTACCGCAGTTGATACGGAAACAGGAATAACTACGAAAACCTTTGTTTCAGGGCAGAGCAGTCCATCGAAACGAATCAAATATTTATATAGCGGAGCCGCTGTGATTGTGGTCCGCAAGGCCGACCAGAATACATCCCTGATAGCGGGCTGACTCTTGCGTTGCAAATTGTCAATTCCCTGCATGGCAAATGTGATTTTGTTAAGTAAGCATCTGTTGTCATTGTTGAAATAATGTTTAGGTACGTTGAATGTTGAATTTTATTGCTTGCCAACATAGGTAAGCAAAGGCCAGTAATTGTTTCACGAAGCTGATTTAACACTGAATAGGTTAGTGCGCCGAAGTGTAAGTGAAAAGACTTGTTTTTTACTCAGCCAGGTTATTTTAGAATTTAAGCTTGGTAACGTAAATTAATGCTGTGTTCATGCTGGTAATAAAGGATGCATTTGCCATTATCATTATTATCACCATTAAGAGGACGAATGTAACCACAGTAAATAAATAAAGGGCGTTCCAAAAATGAATATATAATATTCATTTAGAAATAATGATGGGACTAAAGCTTGCTTTTTTATAACAAGCACTTAACAAGCATTGACAACGTCGGTGTACGGAGCAGTGTGGCCTTGGCCACGTAAGGCACCTAGATTAAGTTATGCAAAGCATGTGGAAGTCGATCTGGCCTTGTGGTTACACATTTATCAGCAGAGGAGCGTATTCCTATCATTATTGCTATAATAATGACAGTAACTATTGTTATCATTATAGAAGGACAACCCATAATATAGACTCTTGATAGACGCTATATTGAATAAACTGTCGCAACCATGTTTCATGTCGTTTATTGGCATATTGGGTAAGAGAGAAGTTTATCTTAAAGTTGCTTATTAAAAAAAGATAAACTCGGTGAAGGCTACACTTTTTCCTTAGGCATCAGGCGGAGTCACTGGCCGGTGCTCAGGGTACGCATGCGTCCTTCTGTTTCCAAGCAGTTTTACCATAACTTCCACCAGACGCCGAGTGCACTTAACGACGCGAATCAGTAAGTGAGTGCGTAGATGGTATCTTGAAAGAGGTGAAACAGTGTAAATCAATACGAAGTTTTCGCTAAACGAACGTGACACCGTTTTTGGCCGACGGGAAAAACCAAGCAAAAGAAGACAAATCGAAATGTAACCAGATGTTGCTTGACGGCCCCATATAAATTCATCAACCGTTACGTGCGGACAAAGTAGGAGATTCGTCCGGGTCGTCTGCAAAACGTTCCTCGACCCAAAGCAAGCAAAAGGCACTTGCGACGGATATGACTTGTCGAAAGGTTTATGTTCCGACCTTACTGGCTCCCTTTACAGCCTCAACCTGTATACATACATCATACATACTCGCATCTCGAATTGTTCCCGTCGGCGGTCTGGCCACAATGCATTCCGCAGTACATGTGCGTAAAACCCTAAGACGGTGACGTAACGTGGCTAATACAGAAAATAAGTACAGCAAATTTCATGGCAAAGTACGTATCTCGCGACGTGCTTCTATGAGTCTCTTTTATTCATATATGATATGAAACAAAGTGTTTTTTTCGTCAGGGATTAAAATTTGCAGACAGGTAACACCACCCAATAACACCATGACTGGAATAGACAGATGGATTTGCTTAGCAAGCGTCCATGATACAATAACTGATGTCTAACGTATAAATACAATAGAAGTATGTTATCTAGTATTAGCAGCGCGAATCCATAACTATCATGGCAATGCGTTTAGAGTTTTTCCGTCCGGCGTTGCTGTTAAGCGTATCCTAAGATGTGTTGTGGTAATAGTCTCTGGCTGTATCGATTTGAATTATTAACTACTGTCAGATTTATATTAATAAAAGGCCTTCCTGTCATAAGTGTTCGTCTCCTACTAGGAGGCAAGCATCTGAATTCAATGCACTACTTGATGATTCCAAACTATACATGTGCACTGAAGAGGGCAAAGCTGCCACCTTATCAGGCACTTGGTATGCCTTGACAGGCAAAAGGTGATAACCATTATGATGTCCTAGTCAAGTAGCACACGAATTAAAATGGCTGAACATATATGCTATTTATTTTAAAGGTGTACCGTACGATGTGGCGTCAGCGTCGTCCTTCTTGTCGTAAACGAACGCCGCCAAATAGTTCGACTAGATCTAGTTTCGGCGACCAATGAACGTAGTGTGCTTAGTCAGGAACGAGACAGCTTGTTCTACGAGAGGGGCCGTTCAGTCGTCAGCTAGCGCACGTAACGCGTAACGATCAATAACTCATCTTGATGCTCGCAGGCTATCGACAAATGTCTAAATGGCCAGTCAAATGGTAAGTACCTCTCCCTTATAGATCATATGTGCATCGGTCGCATTCGATTTGCTTAATTACCTACCTTTCCACATTAGAAGTATGGCGGTATAATCTGCGCCATTACGATGCAGAAATGTCAAGATTTCTCTCTACAAATGATTGACTTGTTTTATCGATGAAATAGGCCTAATTCAACCACCTTCTGTCGGCTTGATACTACGCGGAAATTGCCGTAAACGAAATCCACTGCCGTCCTGCTACGGAACCCGGTTACGCCAAGTGGACCGTGCATTGTGGAAGCACAAATGTCTTCGTGGCATGAATCTGAGCATATCTCGTCACGTTTCAGTACACAAGCGAGACATGTGCAGATTTCCCTATGGCTATGGTTTTTGTATGTGTCGCCAGCATCGATGCTGACATCCTGTCTAAGATTTGCGCTTGACCCCGTGGCACAATTTACTGGAGATAGCTGAAAAATCAAGCGATTTGCTCGAGTTTATTACATTAAGTCATTACCTCTATCAGACCTCAACCGAAATACTCGTGTATTTCGGTGATGATAATAACGACATAAGTGTCGAAATGTGTGGCGCTGTGAACGCGTATTTAACTGGCTAAAACAGTAACATTGTCGAATGTCTTGTAGGTGAAGTATAAATTCTGGCCCTCGGAAACTTCATAATGCACGAATCATCGAATTATTCGATGCAGTATAATAAACAGTATTTAAATCTAATATATAAGTACATCACTCGCCAACATTCACTTGAAACACCCAAAACTACATGCTACATGGGAACAGATGCTAATTATTAAACGTCCTCTTTTCGCTTCGATTTATCTTACACCTGATCAGTAACATTTTCATAGAGTTATCGTCTTGCTGGAAATTTACAAAAACTTTAGAACGAAATGCGCCAGTTCACAATAGTCTACAACCAACTTATTCTCCAGCGCTAATTAGCAAACAAAACGATTATGACCTTACGTAAGGCACCTCGTACTTCTGGACCTTTTCTAACTCATCGCGTTTGATATTTCTCAAGTAGGATTCATTATTCCCTCCAAGCGAAAACGAACTTCTATAGCTGTACATACACGTAAAGAGCATGTGCAAATACAGGCAAAATCGTACGTCACATATTAAATACAGCTGTTTCAGTTTTAAAGGATCTTAAAGGTAAACGTCATAAAAAGATACAAAATTTATACGAGCCAAACTAATCCATAATGTATATTGCAGACTGTAATTGCGACCCCAATATATATATAGTGGCTATCAAATCTAACAAGTAGAACTTGGATTAACCAATGCTGGAGTCCAGAGCCATAAGCATATTATTAGTAATGACCAAAAAAGGCTAGTCGTCTACATCGACCTTTAAAATGAGATTTTTTAGAAAAGATTTGCGAGTTCTACCTGCAGCGGCCTCTCACCACCAAGAACGCTCCGTTACGGGACATCCCTGTATCTCCTAAAGATGATGGGTTACAATGTCCAATAAACGCAATTGAATCCCTGTTCTTACGCAATGGATCGGATTTTTTTAAATTTTATATTCCAAGCTAGAAATTCTTTTCTTTTTATTTGACTTTTAATGTTGCTGATGATTTCCGTCAAAAGAAAGCTGAAACATTAAGTTGGAAAGCTTTGCGGGCAAGAGCCTATTATCCAAAAAGTTCGTTAACAGCTTTCGAGATACTTCGTGACATGTTGATCCATATATTTAATTTCGAAGGCTATAGAAAAAAAATATCCGACAAGAGGAATATAGGACAAGATGGCGTAATGTTATGTAAATTCTTAGCCAATTATAATCAGCTAATAACTCCTTCAGATAGCGCGACTACCTTCAGCATTAATAACATTACTTCTTATATAGAGACCCGAATTATAACTAATACTATAGCTAGAAATCTACTTGGCGTCGAAACCGTACTAATGTTGTTAACATAAGTTCCTTAGAGGTGGCTTGAAAAGTAAATGGTCATTTATCAAGGACTGGGTCGTATCTAAGCAAGTCGTGTAATTAGGCTAGATTAATTAAGCTGATAAATCAACAATCTCAAATAATAATATATAAAAAATCCTAGCAGTACTTATGATTGCTTAGTACGTATATTAGTATGAGGGGTAAATGGGTTCGGAAGTCATCTAATAACAGAAGACACATAACGATTCGACGACAAATAACGACCATCAGAAAATCTCAACGTCATGTTTATAGGAGTCTCTGTCCATTGTTATAATGCGAATTGAAAGAGCTGGCTGATTTTTTTTTCTCTGTCAAGATGCATCGAATAGACCCGTGGTAAACAAAGTATAATCCAAAATAGTTATATAAGAGCCTTGTTCCAGCGACGAGACACTTCTTCGTATATCTTGGTTGGCCTCATTTTAAGCCCGACCGTCGTCAGGTATCAGTTGCATCACTGCCACCATTCTAATTGTTATTATTATCATCTCCGAAGTCTATCTATTTGTGTACGGATGCTGTTTATCGACCTCAGCTTCTACTTTATTGTCGTCCGATGCAAATTTCCTAAGATACTAGCGGAATAGTCGGGTTACAACACCCGCGTTCCGGGTCAGAAGAGCCACACCCCACCTCTAAAAGAGAAATAGAGAATAAATGCATATGATGGAGAACGGAGTATATATACGAATGTATCATTGTCTGTTATGCATCTGGCATAAGCGCATGATAGCCAACACGAACAATCCATTATTGTTTACCATTAATCAATTATTATTATTAACGAGCTCGAGCAGGTGTCTACATAAAGAGAAGATATCCATAGGGTTAGGTTTACCGATAGGAGATGATTTATGATAAGCTAAATCTTGAGGAACAAACCACTCGGGAACGGTTAGCCTGGTTGGGGGTTCGGCAACAGCACAGTAGCATCCTGCGCGGCGTCAGTGCGACTACATATCTGCGTTACGGAAAAAGGACAACATACGAACGAAATGTAACTTGTAATTGCAAGGTCAGCTGGAAAGGCCGGCACTGTGAACAAACTGAGAAGAAGGACGCAGGCGATAGGGAAACTGCAATTCGAGACAACATAAGCGATTTGCCATTCATCTACACTGCTGTTCGGCCAGCTGGCCTGGCAAGAGACAGCTATTATGTGTTGTAATATGGGGCTTTCATGGACTTTCTACATGGATAGAGATCAACCTAGTGCTACAGCGGGCCGAGACAAAAAATGACGATATGGGAAAAATACATACCGAATCATGGATTCGGCTGAAGCCAACGGTGGAGTAGGCCGCAGGTGACAGGACGTAGCCAAGGTTAGGACCTAGTTAAAGTGTGTTTAAATGAAGTGTTTAAATTTTTAGCAAGTTGTCGCTTAAAAACCCCGGTAGGTAGATGTAGAACTGATCGCTGCGGAAATTTCTAGGGTGGCAACTGTTTGACGGTGGTGCTAGACTGGTGCGCGGTTGACCTTTTCGCAGCTCTAACGAAACTACTGAAGACGGCAAAATTCCACCAACCAATCATGGAGCCTTCGTTGTTGGTGATGACGCAGCTGCGAATATAGGCCTCTATATATGTTTGCTTATATGCGAGATTATCTGCCGGGCATTAATACTACTAATAAATCCGTATAATAACTTTATTTAAGGTAACAAAGCAACATATTTATGAGCGTGTTGTAACAGTTTGGATGATCCTGTTAGTAATGTGCAGTGTAGCATGAAGCTAAGAATGTTCGAGTTGGGGGCGCACACGTTACAGGATCATCCACGTAACGTTTTAGACAGTTGAAAGGGATTGAACTTCAAGATGCCGTGCGTGGGACGCGTTTCGATCTCGCACAAAATTGGGCGAAGCGTTCGGTATTACGGACGAGGTAATAATTAGGAGTAATATTTTATTGCGGTATAGTTATCGATTTGATCAAACATGGTTTATATCCTTCGATAATTCAATAACTTATTCCAGTTGATGCCGATAGCGCTTGTAACACGTCATTTGTATTTTGTCCAGCACTAGCTTTGTTGCACAAAATACAGGGATTCCTTCACCATGAATATGAAAGGAAAGCGCCGATTTATCAAACAAAAAAAGAAAAAAGGTTGCATTTGGCTTTTATTTATAAAGCTTGCCCTTTATTTGTTGGCATTTGTTTGCAACGAGCTTAAAACTCGTATGCTATTTCTAATGATGCAATTTCATTCACGTGTGGCCGCAGATACTAGATAATACGTTCGGTTTATAAACGTGTGTATAATTACTTCGCGAGCTGCATAATGCTATCGACTATTTTTCAAATACGAATTTAGCCAGCAGCTGGTATAGATAGGAAAAGGAAAATACTCGAACGATGAAGTGCACCAGTAAGTTTGTTGTCGCAAGCGCAGCGGAAGCCAGCCTCGTACGAACCCATAGAGATATACAGGCCCGTTTGTAACGTCTTCAGGCTTCACAACTATACATGTTTTTATGATGAAATGTCCACAGGTATGACTCAAGCACAAATGACACTGAGTCAGTTAGGCTGCCCATCGTCCACAAGCAGCTACTGTTCGCCCTCTAGGAAAGCTCTCGTTCAACCTTTTTGACCATGCGACCCTGATCCTTTTTAATCTGCAGCCCCGTACTTGTAGCAATACTTGTTGTGCTCAATAGAATATGCTCGATACATGTTCCACTTGCTTTTCCAGGTCCACTGCTCATCGTTGTTCGTGTTAAGTTCTAAAAAAATGTACAGACGAGCATTTACGCTTGGCCACAGACACACAGCACCGGATGATCTCATTGCGCCCTAACTGATCCGTAAATGAGCGTACTTGTTCTTTTTCAAAGGGCTCGCCCTATCATGTTCCTGCATGTAGGACTAACTATCACAATTTTAACACTAGATGTAGTCCATACCCACCTAGAGACTAATCAGATCGTCGCGGGTAGCTTGCTGGGGCAGACATTGTATGTCGGCATCTCATTGACATTTGGAACAAAAGCAGCAACATCAAATGATATGTACGAATGTACGTTTATAAGCGCGATAAGATATACACCCTATTTCAACGAAATCGGCGATAAGACCATACTAACCATGCGTCCAATTATCAATAGGATTTACCCTAGTTAATGGCTTTATAGTAGCTAACAGGAGGGCGTACTGTCCTTGAGTACGTTCCAAGAAACTCCTTAAAGTATTGCCAGAATATAATTTAGTGTACGCTGATAGTCTGGGACTAACGAAAACAATCAGAAGCAAATCAGAACATAACCGGTACCGTACGGTGTGGGAATTTAATTATTAGAGTTTAACAAGCAATACCAGAATTGCGGAAAGTACTTACGCTGCCATACTATCAGCTAAACACTTCAAGAGTGCGCAATTCTAAATTGATGAAAATACCATCCCCTCATTACTGGTTAGGACGTTGTATACGGTAACTGGCACATTGTCAACTGGGGTAACTCGAGAAGCTCACTTGCTGATGAAGATAGCGAGAACATGAAACAGTAGCTGAAACTTAGCGTTACGGTAAGTGTTACTAAATGGCATTAGAGCCACTGGAAGGATTAATTATATATTCTGCACCTGTTCCTAAGTTAACTATTTTAGATAATATCACGCTGTGTTTAGGAAAGCTAAAGCTTCACTGCCCTAAATTTCTGTAATAAATCACAAAACACAACTTTGAACTTTTTTTAGCATTTATTAACTAATTGTAGAAATAAATAGAACAGCAAGTTTCAGTAGACACTGTTAGAACAACATAAAGTTTGATTCAAAGAGGCTCATAGAAAACTTATTAAACGATTAAAGCAGCAATGAAAGAGGGATCATAATGAACTGTTTGTTTATTCCGCTGTAAATTAGCTCTGAAGATGCCAACAAGAACTTAAACTGTATCAAAGTACCATCCTGGCGTAGGCTGGACCTGACGCGTAATGAAGTTCATGGTATAAAGCATAGTTGCATTATGAGTAAAAACTAGGTAAGTAAAATATTAGCTTTACTAATATAATTTCAACATTAGTCTGACAGTTATTGATGATAAAACGTAGCGTTAACCTATCCCAGGTTAAGTGCCAGTTTACACCCGTTTCAATATTCTAAATGTATAATGTTAAAGGTCTAGAACAGTTTGAAGGGAACTTAGAAGAACCGCTTGGATGCACGCCTCCTTTTCCTTGCATACGCTCTTTTCCCTCCATAGGTTCATGCAGTAGGGTTCGCATAAAGGTAAGCTTTCATCACAGCCTGCTCGAACAGAAAAAGGCAAAGAAGGAACTCAGATTACGATACAACACAATAAGTTGCCACTGCACAACTATGCCTGGCAGAATGTTACAAGATTCGATTGGCTCATCAAGGATTTGAGTAAAAAAAAAATGCTACAAGTGGAAGTATGAGATTAGGACTCGATCCGGAGACGGCGTCGCTGGCCGATCCGTTCGAAAAAAGATAGCTTCTATAACGTTGGATAACTAACTACGTGAGCTGCCCAGCCCCACAAGACATTTCATCATAGCCTAAAAACAGATACAGTGTTTCTGCTATCTGCAATTGGAATATGTTGCCGGCTTGTACCAGCAATTTGCAAACAAATCCTATGAAAAATCCTATTGATATTTCTTAACATCATCTCCTAATAGTGGCTAGTAACCGATTTGCAGCGTTGTCTGTTTCTTAGCTTTGAGAAGATTGTGATCTTTGGCCACGTATAGGAACTTATAGTGGTAAACTTATAGTGGCTATATTGTGTCCGAACTGTAAAATTTACAGGTGCTTTATTAAGTAATGTACGCGAGGTAGGAGTTACCGTTGGAGGCTTTCCGCCATCCACCATACCCGCTAGATAATCCGCCCACATTAACAATATAAACAACTTTCTTCAAATCTCAATATTATCTTGAAAGGATCTTTCGGAACCTCAGAGATTTTTCTACCGCATATTTCCACAGCAACGGAATAACTATGTTACCACCCGAACGGCTGAACTTTATAAATAATAAGGGTGCATACTTTGATTAGAAATAAAAGCGCTATCCTCGTGGACAAGTTTGAAAAGGTGGAAAAAGAGCTAACAGAAATACCCGCCATATTGACGGTTTGAATTTTAGCGGTGTATAATACCCATCGCTATTTGTTTTTGTTTGAGGGTGATTCGCTTGGCCCTTCCTGCGGATGCGTGGCCACTTTCCTGGTACCCCTTTTCGGAAGCTCAGAGGAGATGATGACATTTGCATCGCTTTACATACGCTAATTTTGGTCCTTATGAGGCCACTCTAGGAAGGTTCCCAGGCGCTCTAGACAAACGCAGCCCTGTTGTCACAGCTCTAATGCACACCACTTCGTTCAGTACTGACTTTTAGAACAAGCTAAGCTTTCGGTTTTTAGGAACTTAAAGCATTCGCGATGCTGGTTCGGGCAGAGGTGGCGGATTGCATCGTAGTTTCATGTTTTACCATGTATAAGAGATTTTAAACAAGAAAAAAAGCCGCGAAAAGTGTAATGTAAAACGTTAGATATTCATGACGAGAGCACTTGCGATATTTTGAATCGTATGCTTTCTTCGGAGAAATGTCGCAACTCGCTATCATTCAAATCGTTCCTTATAGTGTGCTGGTTTAAAAATTAAAACAGACGACAAAATATGTTTTATTCTGATCGACAGACCGAAAAAATCATCAAAGTCGAAAAGTCAGGCCGCGCTTTTAATAGAAGTAATCTTCCTGAAGCTATTAATCAATATTCTGCTAGTTAGGTTAGTATAAGAAACAGACCCGAAGAGACGTTTGAATCTATACGCTTATCGGGGCGTCCGGAAGAAGCGTACGCGGAAACACGGTGTGCTTGTCTTCTAAGGAGCTTGGAAGCCATATCATCTTTTCTTTTGATTTATGAAACGGTTGGCGTTTCCTCGGCTTTTCCTTTAACCTTTTTAGCTGATTAGAGAATAGGCGATTAGAGGTATAGCTTCCTTTGGCATTGTTGTTTTTGCTAAATTTATACGCAGAACCTCTGCTGAATGAGCTTTCATCTCGAAGGCTATTGGATGGGGCCGTAAAACGCATAGTTTACTACCACCGTTTACGGTTTTAGACTGCCGAGTCCCCAGTCGATATGCATACCCGTCGAGTTCTGCGGTAAACGCTTCGAGGTGGTCCCCTCCAAAGAAGTCAATTACATGATCGATGGATGCTTTCCAATTCTATTTTTCAGTTTCCTGTATTTCATGCAATAGGGCATTGTGAGCGAAGCTATTCGATCGTATCAGCTGGGGACTGCTTAATTATTTAACACGGTTGCAAAACATCAATGGGGCTCTTATTGGCGAAAATAGTTACCCTATTGCTATGGCTAATCTCGGCGCTTTTCTTAGAGCTGTAATCGGTGTAACCTGCGCAGTAGGTATAATCCCTGGTATTGTTAGGTTATCATCAGAGATTATCATCGCAATTTGCGTCGTACGGGTAATTTTGCTACCCACGGAA